GTTCATTCACCACTACTTGGCAGTGTTGTGCATATATTGTACATGAATTGTTGCCATCCAGTAAGTGTCAAATTGAACTTGCGCTTTAAAATTAGCTTCAGCTAATTTTTCTATGGCATAAGTGTTTTTGAAGATGCAGACCTAAATATTTTCATAAGCGCTTTAGAAATTGCGGAGCTAATTTTTCAGTTAGCGCTGCCCATCATTGCCTAAAACTTTGTCATTCCAATTCCTTCACAACCACCACGTTCATTTCATCCATCAAGCTGCCATCCTCCATCCCAAACTCTCCATTCAGTTTCACTCCCCACCAGGCTCTTTCATCAAAAGTTTCAGCAAAATGGCTGCACAGACATTTCCATCTTCATGCTCCCCCTGGCTGTTTAAAAATCACAGATGAAGACAGTCATGTCCTTAACAGATGTGAGCTTTCAGAAATGAAAGAGATTGGCAGAATTAAAAGATGCAGGGAGCAGAACTCTACTGGGTTATGTCCTGATGAATCTCAGTAATCCAGGTAAAAAAAATCAAAAAGAAAAATCAGTAGGTCCTCTGGATGGTTCTTCTTTAGTGAAACATTTCGTCTCTCCTCGAAGAGACTTCTTCAGTCTGATGAGTTTCAGGTGAACTCAGCCTTATAAGCACTGCCTCCACATGGACAAACAGGTTAGTCACATGCAAAAGAGGGCCATCACCTAACAATAGGCTTGATGAGCTTTACTGTTCATAGAGGGTCATGTGCCCCATCACCTGACTTATTGGTTTGGATGCTGTGGTTCTTAGGTGTTGCGTCATGTGTGTATGTAGTGAATGCAGGCGGGGATTCAAAGTCTCTTTGTTTTTGTTTTTTTTCCTCTTTGTTGGTTATCATTGGAGACCTGATTCACACCTTTTACTCACAGGGGGCGGAGTCATACTTGCAATAACAGCGTTGTAGGAGGAGGACAACTGGACACGAAGGCCTCCACCTCTGTTTAATGGTGGARGMTTTTTCTTCACAAAGATGACTTCCTTTACTCCTCTCTCAAACCAACGTTCCTCTCTATCAAGAATGAGAACATCTTCATCCCTGAAAGAGTGACCGCTGGCCTGTAGATGAGTGTAAACTGCAGAGTCCTGACCTGTAGATGAGTGTAAACTGTAGAGTCCTGGCCTGTAGATGAGTGTAAACTGAAGAGTCCTGGCCTGTAGATGAGTGTAAACTGCAGAGTCTTGACCTGTAGATGAGTGTAAACTGAAGAGTCCTGGCCTGTAGATGAGTGTAAACTGCAGAGTCCTGGCCTGTAGATGAGTGTAAGCTGTTGAGTCCTGACCTGTAGATGAGTGTAAACTG